AGCAGCGGCAGGAGCGGATGGTGGTGCATCGCCTTATGCTGCCAGTGCGGGTAGCACGGGTGCTGTGAACAGTGTGGAGGAGGGGATTGAACGAGAGAGGGGGCGAGAGACAGGGGATACAGGGCATTGTGGGTTAACAGCAGGGCCAGGAGAGGCAGGGGGGACAGGGGAGGCAGGAAGGACAGAAGAGAGAACAGAGCGTGTTTCCGAAGCTGAAAAGGTGGCTCGGGAAATGAGAGCCGCAGATGCAGCAATCAACGGCGAGGATCAGCCGCCGTTCCTGCCGGGCCTCCCGGACGACTTGGCTTGGGCCATTCTTCTCCGCGTGCCTCGGAGCAACCTGCAGGTTCTCAGGACCGTCTGCCGACGCTGGCACGACAGCCTCGGGTCCAGCCTTTACTTCCAGGCTCGGAAGAGGCTCGGGCTTACCGAGCCTTGGCTGTATGCATCAATCAGTGACTGGCAGGTGAGCATGGGGGCACACTGGTTCTGTTCAGACGCCGTGTGAATCGATGTGCAAGGCTCGTGCGGATACCCCTGCTTCCCAGTACCTAGTACTTACCAACGCACGAGTCAGTTCACTTGCGTATCCGCTTCTCCTTATTGTCCCATCCCCTCTCCTCCAACCCATGCAGGGTTACAACGCGTGTGTGGCGTTCGATCCGAGCAGCAGCACGTGGCACACACTGCCACCCATCCCGGGCGCCCAGCAGCGGTCCGTGCTGACACTGCAGTTCGCGGCAGTGAAGGGGCGGCTGCTGGTGGCGGGCGTGGTGGAGAGAGAGGATCCGCTCGACTCCGCCTCTGGCGTCTTCATCTACCACCCCGCCCGGTATGCACGGCTTAACCCCTCCCTCTTGCTCTCTTTTACCCCCCCCCCCACCCCCCCTCTCTCTCTCCCCCACCTTCCACACACAGACACACGCACATCCATCCACACACTCACTCACACAAGCACTCTTTCTCTTACACTCACCGCTTTGTGCCCACTTAGATCTCCCTCTCTTCCCCGCGCTTCTCCCCCTCCCCACATGTCCCTCCCCCTCCCCACGTGCCACCTCCCCCACATGCACCTCTCTGCATGCCACCTGTGCAGGAACGAGTGGAAGCGGGCGGCGGCGATCGACACGGGGCGGTGGTTCTGCATGTTTGGAGTGGTGGGCGGGCGGCTGTATGTGGCGGGCGGCATCGGCACGTCCAACAGCCTGGCGCTGGTGGGGTCCGTGGAGGCGTATGACGTGGATGAAGACCGGTGGTGGCAGGTGAGGAGCGGTGAGGAGCGGTAAGGAGCGGTGAGGAACGGTGGACGCAGGTGAGCTGCCGTTATGCTCTCTATGGGTCAAAGACATCTTATTGTGTCTTGAGTGTCCCCTCTCACTGCCCGGCAGGTGGGAACAGCAGCAGCATCAGCACGAGCAGAGCTGATGACACTGCCAGGGTACCAGGCAGTGGTGGGGGGTTGCCTGGTGGCCAAGAACATCGGGTGGGGGCAGCGCCTGGGCGTGGCCTTCAACCCGCGCACCAACACTGTCACTGAGCTGCCCCCCGCCATGGTGCAGGTAAGGCATGCTGGATGGTGCAGTGTGGTACAACGTGGTGGAGCGATATGTGCAAGAGTGGGGTACAGGGCAGTGGTGGGGCGTAGGGCAGCACCTCGGCGTGGCTTTCAACCTGCGCTGCAGCACCGTCACTGAGCTTCCTCCTGTCATGGTGCACGTGTGCCATACTGGGTGGTGGTGGGGTGTGGTGGGGCGTGGTGGGGCGTGGTGGGGCGTGGAGAGCATCAATCACTACCCCTCCCCACTGCAGCAGTGCAGGGGCACATGGTCATCGTTGGCCTACTGTGGTGTGGTGGCATTGAATCATTCCACTCTCCTCGCCCTTTCCCGCTTGCAGGGATGGCAGGGCCCAACAGCATCAGTACAGGGCCACATGTTTATAGTCGACTTTGGGGACGATTACAAGCTGAAGGCCTGGGACCCCCCCACACACGCCTGGACGTGGGTCGGCAAGGTTCGGCTGCCAGCCATGTCCCACAAGCCGTGGGCGGCACAGCTTGTCTGCTTCCTGGACCACATTTGTCTTGTTCTGCCGGACAGGTCTCTAGTGATGGCGCCTCTGCCGCCCCTGCTGCGATCACTGGAGCGGCAGAGGAGGAGGAGGGCGAGAGAGGGGAGGGCGAAGGTGAGGGGAGAGGAAGGGGTGGTGGCTGGTGAAGGTGGGGAAGGCACAAGTGTGTGGGGAGATGTGTGGAGTAGAGAGGAGGGGGAAGAGGCAGAGAGTGGAGACGTGTTGTTTGAAGGGGTGGGAAGGAATGACGAGGAGAGGAGTGGAAAGAGTGAGGGGGAGGAGGAGGAAGAAGAGGAGGAAGGGGAGAAGGGGCATGTGGAGGAGGTAATACCGGTGAAGGTGACACCTGGGCCGGGAGGGGGGGACAAGGGTTCGGAGCTGGTGCTAACAAATGCAGTGCTGGGCTGCCAAGTGCTTGCCACATGAATGGCTCCATTGCCCAGTTCTAAGCATAGGAGGGGTTTAGGGAGTGTTGGTGGTGAGCGAATCAATAAATAGAATGCAAATGAATCTAGGTGGCAGGTCTGTGCAACCCAACCTAGCCTACAAAGTACTTATACGAATACATGTTTACGCTGACTACATGTCACTGGAAAACAAATACAGGAGAACCGTATGACATATAATTGTTCCCGAGTGCTACACGCAATTGTTTCTATGCTATGCAGCCACCATTATCCCATTAAACACTCTAGGGTGTTCAGGACCACAGCCAACCAGCTATCTATTTGGGCACACATAAAGATACCATTTCTCCTTGCCTCCCACCTATGTTATCTGAACACTTCTTGTTGTGCTTCTCGAAAGTTGTCTGACTGCCACCAAATGCTCGGGCATAGATAGCGCTGCACGAGGTTTTGGCAGCGAAATGCTTGACTTTTGAGCCATCGCCGCATTGACCAGCTGAAAATGTCAGATATTCCGCTCTTACACAAACCTGCAGCCACAATCAAAGGGAGAAAGAGCATGATAAGTAGAGAAATATGAGCATTAGATTTTGCGGCGACTTACACGAACACAGCCCCATCTACCATACCAGACCCCGGCCCAGCATCAGCACCATTCCCAGCAAACATAATGCACCCCATCCACCCATTTTCTCACCGGCACTTCCACACTTCCACTCGCACCGTCAGTCAGAATCTTGACTGGAACGTTGCAAACGAGCCCCGGGTTCATTCGGTAGAGCTCCACCATGGAGATTTTATTCGGATTCACCAGATCCGTGCAGCCCTGCTTGTCATGTATAGACGCCGCCTTGAGACAACTGGGTATTTTGCGTGAAGTTGTAATGTCTTGCTCGATGCAAAGGGAGCGGGAGGTGTTGAGAGGCGAGGAGGAGCAACTGATGTTTGGGTTAAGCGCCTCCAGCGTGCCTTCGTTTAATTTAAGGAATTTTTCGACTGTGGAGCAGGTGTCCCCCTGGTGGAGAGGGAAGGGTCAAGAGCAACTGAGCAGTCACTGGTCAAGCAACAGTGGAGAAGATGAGTGAAGCAGCAGCATACAGTCGTGAGTGAAGCAGCAGCATACAGTCGTGAGTGAAGCAGCAGCATACAGTCGTGAGTGAAGCAGCAGCATACAGTCGTGAGTGAAGCAGCAGCATACAGTCGTGAGTGAAGCAGCAGCATACAGTCGTGAGTGAAGCAGCAGCATACAGTCGTGAGTGAAGCAGCAGCATACAGTCATGAGTGAAGCAGCAGCGTACAGTCGTGAGTGAAGCAGCAGCATACAGTCGTGAGTGAAGCAGCAGCATACAGTCGTGAGTGAAGCAGCAGCATACAGTCGTGAGTGAAGCAGCAGCATACAGTCGTGAGTGAAGCAGCAGCATACAGTCGTGAGTGAAGCAGCAGCATACAGTCGTGAGTGAAGCAGCAGCATACAGTCGTGAGTGAAGCAGCAGCATACAGTCGTGAGTGAAGCAGCAGCATACAGTCGTGAGTGAAGCAGCAGCATACAGTCGTGAGTGAAGCAGCAGCATACAGTCGTGAGTGAAGCAGCAGCATACAGTCGTGAGTGAAGCAGCAGCATACAGTCGTGAGTGAAGCAGCAGCATACAGTCGTGAGTGAAGCAGCAGCATACAGTCGTGAGTGAAGCAGCAGCATACAGTCGTGAGTGAAGCAGCAGCATACAGTCGTGAGTGAAGCAGCAGCATACAGTCGTGAGTGAAGCAGCAGCATACAGTCGTGAGTGAAGCAGCAGCATACAGTCGTGAGTGAAGCAGCAGCATACAGTCGTGAGTGAAGCAGCAGCATACAGTCGTGAGTGAAGCAGCAGCATACAGTCGTGAGTGAAGCAGCAGCATACAGTCGTGAGTGAAGCAGCAGCATACAGTCGTGAGTGAAGCAGCAGCATACAGTCGTGAGTGAAGCAGCAGCATACAGTCGTGAGTGAAGCAGCAGCATACAGTCGTGAGTGAAGCAGCAGCATACAGTCGTGAGTGAAGCAGCAGCATACAGTCGTGAGTGAAGCAGCAGCATACAGTCGTGAGTGAAGCAGCAGCATACAGTCGTGAGTGAAGCAGCAGCATACAGTCGTGAGTGAAGCAGCAGCATACAGTCGTGAGTGAAGCAGCAGCATACAGTTGTGAGTGAAGCAGCAGCATACAGTTGTGAGTGAAGCAGCAGCATACAGTTGTGAGTGAAGCAGCAGCACTCACTGGCAGCGTGTAGTAGAAAGCAGAGCATACAGTCACGCCTCGTTTTCTCATGTTGAGCTCTTTTTTCTCCTCAAGAGGCTTCGAGCAGTCAACCTGCAATTGATACAGCGGCCAAGGACACTCTCCAAGTCAAACCGTTAACAAACCACAGCTTGTGAAAGGTGATCAGTCCTATCAACAGTGCTAGTAGTGTTTTCCAAATGTAAGCACAAATGAAAGGTTGATAAGCCTGACACAGCAGGTGGGAATTGATGAAGTGAGAAGCAGCAAAGGTTAGGAGCCAGAGCAGACTACAGAAAGCACGGCATTGTGGGAAGTGAGGGTGGTTGCAGAAATAGGCAGGTGAAGCTGCACCTCGTTATTGCTCATAAACTCCTCAATGGTGAGATTGAAGAGGGAGTGCACATCGGCACACTGCCAGTTCCTGCCATTCACCACCAGCGTGGAGGCAACATTCCACTCTGCGCATGGGAGGGCGGAAGGCAGGGAGCGAGGAGGGCAGAAAGTGTGGATGGTAGGAAGGAGAGAACACATCATTCTTTAATTGCTGAAGCTGTGTTACATCTGTTTCGCCATACCCCTTAAAAAAACACACAAAATGAAACTACCTTTGGAGCAGGTGGGGAAGCCATCAACGGTGGTGTCGAGTGAGTGTGTGGGCGGGCACACACACGTGTACGAGCCCTTTTCATCGTTGATACACGACCCCACCTCACATGGGTTTCGTGTGCTGCCACTGCACACATCCACTGTCACACACAAGCGGCGGGGCAAACAGACCGGTGGGCAGTCAGTAGCAGAAACAAAGACCGAAGGATAGGTCCAATATCACATGTGTTGCACCAAAAAACACTCACTGAGAGCACACTGGATGGAACTCCAGGTTAATCTATTATGGCAAACTCTGGGCTGGAAATTTGACAATGTGCGGCCCATATACAATGTCACTGAATGTACAAGCGATTAGGGCCGTTGCCCTATCTCTTTCCGAATGTTTTACCTTTGGAGCCGAAGAGAATGTAAACTTTCACAATCGATTGTTAAAAAAAAAAAGACTCTAATTAGTAGGCATACGTCAGTCATGCTGTTAACTTAATACCCCCATCACAACGCACCATAGGCACAGGAGCGAGAGGCACCCACCAAAGGCACAGGACTGAGAGCCGTCTTTGTTGACAGCCTCAATGAAGGGATGCTTGCAGGAACAATTGTTGGAAGGTTCGCCAATTCGCTTTGTACAATCGAAGGAGCCACAGGGGTTCATGACGGAGGCTTTATCGCCTTTGAGCTTGTACGCACTGGCCATGCAAGGGTCACTGGTATCTGATACAAGGACCAGGACGGGTGAGAGGAGGGAGTGACCACTGAGTGAGAGAACACCAGCAGCAGGCAGCAGGTGCTACTCCCATGCATTGGCGTATCAATGCAAAATGACAAGGACCGGCAGACACACCAGTACCCATGTTGACAAGGAGCACAACGTGAGTGAAGCAGCAGTGTAACGTGTGAGGGTGTTGTACTCATTGCAGGCATATGAGTGCAGAACCATAATGCCAGGCAGTTTGACTGAGTGACAAGGCGCCACTTAAACTTGACCAGAGCACTGAGGCTGTGTCATCCAATAAGCCACTCCTCAAAGTATCCACAACTCACTTCGGATGACAGGGTAGATGCCAGGCAGCACATTGATGCCGCAGATGCCATCTCCCCCCGCTATCCCCATGTACATGTATCCCTCCGCCCCCCACTTCGTGCCCCACGAGTTGCGGATCTTCCAGAAGGGCGCGGAGATGGTCGGGCGGTTGTTGTCAGTGCCGGCAATGAGGTAGCCTGTAACGAGTACAACATGGTTGAGGTTGCCCGTGTAGCAATCACCAACGTGGTAGTTGTATGTCTGTATGCACCAGCAGGGCAGAGAGGGCAGGAGAGGGCAGAGAGAGAGGGCAGAGAGAGAGGGCAGAGAGGGCAGAGAGGGCCGAGGAGGCACAAGCTGAAAATTGCCACAAAGCATGGTTGACACAGGGCAGAACGCAAGGCATGGGGACAGGGCTAATAACCCAGTCCACTTCTCAATGTGAATTCAATAACCCCCGCGATTCTTGAGTATTTATGGGTGGGCTACTTCTTCAATAACCCAGTCCACTTCTCAATGCTATATATATATATATATACAAATATATATTTATATACTGTGCGTGGGCCTCAATTGGACCTCCGGTTAAAAGTGACAGATTCGTCAGCCTTCATCCTCATCTCTTCTATGACATAGAGCATACCCCATCGTAGGCAATGAAAACGAATTCATTCTATTCGTACTCCATGCTAGTTAAGAAAACGTAATTGCTTCATGCATACCCCATCGCAGGCAACTAGAATAGAAAAACCCACTTCGTGCATAGGTGATCAAAACGATGCATACCCCATCATAGGTGGTGAACGAGGCAGCGGTGGCCTCGATGTGCACCACAACGGGCTGGCGCCCCACTGCCAGCATGAGCCCAAAGTACCCCTTGAATGCTGTCCTCTCAAACCCATGCACCAGATATTTCTCCTGTAGGGACATGCCACATGCGCACGCATATGCACATGCACATGCACATTCACATCCACATTCACAAGCACAGGCACATGCCACATGCACATGCATACGCACATGCACATGCATATGCACACTCACATGCACAGGCACATACACGTGCACACGCACATTCACAAGCACAGGCACATGCCACATGCACACGGATATGCACATGCACATGCATAGGCACATTCACAAGCATAGGCACGTTCACGGTTCACATGCATAGGCACGTTCACATGCAGAGGCACACACACAAGGCAGGATTTGGTGGCAGTTCGCATGAGCGCGTAGTGTTGGCTACTTCACCGTAAAATGGAACAAACATGGCATCACTTCAGTACTTTTAGCCATTCCTTCTGCTCTTTCTTGTCTCGATGGAAAGAGATGCCAGGGTTTTGAGTCATTTTCTACGCTCTTTCTTCTCCCAATGGCCACTTTAAAGAGACGCCAGGGTTGGAGCCACTTGGTACTCAGCAGATAGAGGTTAAAGCGAAAGAGTGCATACCAGCATTGGTGGTGCAGACGCGGTGAGAGAAGAAGTTCTAAGAGAAGAAGGGTGATGTGTTGCTGGAGGTGAGGCAAGATAGAAATATGAGTAGAGTGTGGAAAGGAAGGAGGAAGGGGAGGATGGAGAGGAAGAGGAGGAGGAGGAGGAGGAGGAGGAGGAGGAGGAGGAGGAGGAGGAGGAGGAGGAGGAGGAGGAGGAGGAGGAGGAGGAGGAAAAGAAGGAGAAAAAGGAGGAGGAACGGGTAATGACACGTGAAGTGGTGGTGGGAGGGTCAGTTGGCTCTGCAGTGATGCCGTCCTTATTCAAAGTTGCCTTAACGAGCTTTTGAAAGGCAAAGGTGGGAGAGCTGCTGCTGCAACTAGCCAGCCCCAAGAGTTGGTAGAGGGATTCGATGGAGAGCGATGGGAATGATGTCAAGTTGTTCCTCGCGATGCCGTACGCTGCTTCTATGCTCGCCACCACCGCATACGCCCAGCAATCTTCTGCACGTTTGGAGAGGGAGAGTGTTGCAGACAAAGGCCGAGGACACTTACCAGCATGAGGTTTGCAGGCTGGGGACAAAATCACAGAGCCTAGAAGAGCAAATTTGCATTGACAAATCTAAGTTTGAAGGGCAGCAGGGGGAGTGGAACGCATTGGCAGTGAGGAGCTGATGCTGCACATTGTCAGCCTGCCAGAAACATTGTTCATTCATGGACAGTACAGCGGCCACAAGGCAACACCTGGCTCACTGCATGAGCCTTCTGCGTCGACTCAACTTCATCCAGGCTCACCACATGAGCCTTGGTCCTTGGGCAGCCAGTTTGGGTCAATGGTCCAGGTGGAGTAGGTGGGTATTCGCCATGTGTCCTGGTCGTCTTGTGCTTTGGTGTGCCCCACGCTCACATAGCGCGTGAACGGGCTCGTAGTTTGCGGGTTGAACGTGGCTACGTCCACGAGTAGGCCCATGCCTGCATGCAGAGAGTATCAGCAAGGGGCGTGGGAGGATTGAACAATGCACAACGAAAGTACCATCAGGCTTGCTATGTAACATGTTGCTTTCAGCATGCTCACTTCTGTGTGTTGGGTGTGGCACTTACTGCTGCTGGCTGCCCGGAACGTTGTGACTGCGCTTGATGCAGCAAGTGTAAGTGTAAGCAGATTCACTCCTATCAGTTCACTCACATATGCAATACCTACGAGAGGCTCTATCAAGGAGCAAAAGACAGCTGCATAAGAACGTACTTCTCTTAACTGGAAGTGGTGGTGGCAAGTTGTATCCTGCCAGGAAACACAAGGCATGATAAACAGTGAAGAGAAGAAGTTTAGGATCTAGCCTGAAAGTGGGTTTCCGATTTCAAGTCGGCGTTCCTGACTTGTACGGCTGAAACTTTGCACACACTGTGTTTGTGAGATCAATCGCATGTTGCACGCGCACACATGCGTAGTACTGCATGCTTGGACGATTGTGCCTTCCTAGCGGCGGCAGGCTTGCCTGTTATAATGGATGCCATGCCCACTGCATGCTTCTGCGCGTGAAGGCCTGACGCGGCCACAAAGCCAAAGTAGAACGAGTAGGACTTGTTCGTGGGCTCCAGCACGTCACAGAGAGAGAGGTTCATGGAGACCATGGGGTCGACCGGGCGAGCACTGAATGAATCCGCGAGGTACACCTTCAAGCTCTCTGCCTTGTCATCAGGGTTGTACTCCACCCATGCAAAGTACATCTTTCCGTTGTTCAGCGGCACTGTCGAGGTGTTGGCCGTCACATTCGACAAGGAGTTCCCATTCAGGTTCACTCCCACGTGACTTGCGCTCGTGTCATTGTGCTCCTTGTCCTGCCACGTGTCAAACTCCACAGCCATGCTGCGTGTGCTCATGCCGGCATACCCCACGCCGCTACCGATGGTGCTGGTGGTCTTGTTTGTCGCGGAAACGACAAACGCGAGCCCGTTGCCGCCGCTGCCACGAGTTCTGGGAATCATGATGAAGGAGAAGCTGGCCTTGAAGTAGAACTGCCGGCCGCAGCTACCTCCAATGGTCTCATACGAGAAAAGCTGGAGGCGCGTGTCGGAGAAGAAGGATCCGTTGGATGGTGCTGTGAGCTCGGTGAGCGTGACCATGGTTGGGATCAAAGTGGTGGATCGGGGGTTACCCATTGCTGCAAAGTCTCAAAGAAAATGCAGGAAACGTGGCAGGTTGTTGAGTTGTTTGTGAAATTTACAAAAGCATGCGAGATCAGCATGGAGTCGGAGTTGGGATTGTCAACTCAGGAAATGCCACGAAATAGGTCTTGGTTTGACATGAAATGCCATCTACTTGACTCAGGAGGCTTTTGCCAACATGCATTCGCTTTGAAACTCTCTATTGACGTGGACTGCAGTGGTTGTGGGCACAGGCAACGGTGGTGACATGTGAAGGTGATATGTGAATGTGACATGTGAATGTGACATGTGAAGGTGACATGTGAGAAGTATGGAGTCATGGCATGCACTTTTAATTTACCTTCAGGAATGCAGGTGGCCAGAGATTCTCCTTGGACATACCCCTTTTTACAGTCACAAACAAGCCGTTCAGCGGTTCCATTACGAATGCACGTGCCAAACCCCCCACAGGGTGGGCTTTTGCGGGAAAGGCCGCAGAATGGAGTGCATTCGCTCATCGGTCGTTGGCGGATTTTGGAGCATTTGGATGTTTTTCCGAAATTGAAGCAGTTGCCTTCAAGAAGGCCCTTCTTGCAAGACTTGGTCTTGAGGGAAAAAACGGAAAGGTAGTTGTGGTATGCAGTGAGAGTGACCTTCGGTGGCGGCACCACCAGGGCTCCACTGAGCATATTGTTGTGCAACGATCTGTAAGTATGAGGTATCGCCATTTAAGAGTGTGGATTTACAGCAGATAATATCATTGTTTTGAACCAAGAGGGTGGAAATACACACAAAAAAAAACTTATTTATGAGCAATATTGACCGAGCTTGTGACGAGAATGTTAGGATGGCCAGTATTCACTCTGTTCAGAAGCTTGAATCTTCGTGGTTATGGCGACCAGAAAATCCTCTGAGAGCGGTGAGAGGGGTTTTGGGAATTCTTATACTTACACTTTTCTGATAGACTTCATTAGCAGTATTGAAGATGGTATGCTTCCCCAGAAACGGTTGTCGCCTAGATCCCTGGTTTGTCATTCATACACAAGGCCATGCATTGTGACTGATCATTTTGATCTAAAATCTGAAATGATGCAGGAATATTGACCAGTGCATGGTTGTTAGTTTCTTATAGCCCTATTTTATTTTGACCAGCCAGAAAATTCGATGAAACAATGCTGCCTTTGAGCCTTGTAAGGACTACCAGAGCACCAGGACTAGATCATCTAGCTTCTTCTAAAGCCCATTTACCCTCTATTGATACTATAGCTGGTGTCATTAACCCCACACGATAATTTTATCAGGCATTTCAAGCAGTTGGTTGTAAAGCCTTTTACGGCGTTTATTACTGAGCGTTCATTGAAATGGATACATTCATTGATTGAAATATATAACATTCATCAGAATAGATACATTCATTGGTGTACATGCATTAGTTGGTGTACACGTGTTCGTTATTGGTATGCATACTTTGGGTACGCACGCGTGGTATATATGCGTTCGTTATAATCCATGTGTTACATTAGTGTGCATGCGAATGCATTAGTTTACCCCACTTTGCAGGATGGAACCGATTTGAAGGAACCACTCAACAATGAAAAGGGTTAATGAAGTAATGGTACCATATTGACCAGATACATCGTGCCATGACCGCACACTGGATGGAGGGTCGGACTCACAAATTTGTAAGGCTGGAAAAAGACCCCAGATACGAGGGCACCTTCCCAAAAAAGTGATTGCGCTGCAGGCTCCTGCAGATGGTCACGGGGACATGGGGGTTATGTGCTGTTTGAGGGACTTGCTAACACTACAAAGCAATTTTATACAAAGTTTCTTACCTGCTAGTATCCGAACCTCTCAATTGTTTTATACAAACAAACAGTATAATTTCTGCATTACAAAATCAGAGCATTTGTAACAGCAGGCAATGCGGTACGGAAGCCAAACCGTGCACGTGCACGTGCAGCCACAGCTAAATTAGGTGGACTGACTAACAGCTCAGAGTGCTGAGTGCCCATGCTATGTTGGCATGGCCTAGAGTGGACTTACAAAGTGATAAGTTTTGTTAAATTTGACATGCACTCAGGAATGGGCCCGTCGAATATGTTTTCCCCCAACATTCTGCCATACAGAGACAAGGCCAAAAAGAAGGAGCCTGCCAATGTTCTGCTCGCAACACCTGGAGCATTGCAAAGCACCTTCAAAGCTATAACAGGCGCGAGCATATAAGGGTGGAGAAGTATTTCAGGATGGACGGCAGGTCCACCACAGTGGGTGATTAAATTAGCATTATAGCATATTCTGGGCTTATGCAGTACATACGTGGATGAGGGCTGAAAGAACGATGCAAAAGTGGTAATAGTTTGAAAAACCTAATCAACGCAATGACAGGAGTAGGAAGGAAGCGATGGTGTTTGGCAGTCACAACCTCCCAGACGATGGAAGAAGTGCACTTACAGGTAGGTCAGGCTTGTCATGTTACAAATCCATTCTGGGATCTGACCAGTGAACTCATTCGCACCGATGTCCCTGTAACAGCAGCAGCCAATGCACATGTCATAGGTGGTTATGAAACCCTCAAAGGAAGAAAAAAAAAGAGAAAGAGAAAAGATTGAAAGAAATAAAAGAATAAAAGTAAATCTCACTAGTAGACTAACTGTGATTGTTTGTGGATACTAAATCCTACTCATGGAGGAATTTCTTTAGCAGCTATGCCAACGCACAATCAAAACAACATGATTGACGCACACATTCCAAATTCCAACCAGTGTTTTGATTGCCATATTGCTGAGATTTGCTCCAAAGATCTTCCCGTACAAACCACGGCCCCTCATACGCGTTCTCCTCTCCGACCCACATCATACAACATACAACACCTCCTTCCCTTAACCATATTCACTCTTCATCCTTCCAAACAACCTTTAGTAGAAACAGCAACAAGACAATAGCAAAGACAAATCAGCAAGCAAGCCACAGCACTCACAGCTTTTTCAATAGAGTCAATCCTGAAAAGGCTCCTGGCAGGTCGCCCTTGAACAAATTACTCCGCAGATTCCTGTGACGAGTGCACACAATCAAGGTTCAAAACTACGACCGAATTATTGGAAATGCACCGTATAATACGGTATCGTATAATACGAGCGTATAATACGGTTTAATACGGTAGATTGTGGATTTCTCTGTTTGGTTCAAAAATACGACCGTTTAATTCGACCTTAAAATTGAAACCGAGTCTGTGTATATCGAAACTCAAAATTTCACACCCGTGTTTCACCCTAACTCAAATTTCTCTGACAACCGTACACACGAATGTGCGTTTTCCCCGAGTCGCAAATGTCACGACTTTTGCGCGTCGCGACATTTGGACTTTTGGCGACGCCAACATCCAATTTACATGTTTCGCCAACACGTTGGCATCAGTCGCCGAAGGGGAACGTGTTCTATTTCCCGAGGCGCGACTCTGCAACAATTGGCGAACGGTATCCATTCGGTCCCACGTTTCGTTTTTCCCGTTAAACATTTTCGCGCAGCGGAGGTTTTTTTCGCCCGCAATCGCGACACATCCAAAACTCACGGTGCGAAACCAAGCCAACCAATCGGAATACATCCCTTGCGCTCAACCTTTTCCCAAACCCACTCGACACAACACGCCCAGTTTCCACTACGAGGTACTTAGGAGCTTGGTTTAGTCACTCCTAAACATATGCATAGCACTAGTCTAGTCTTCAGTGTGCTCCACCAGGGTTCGTGCCAGTCAGGGCATACGCCATGGCGAGGCAGAAATCGCCGCTGTGGAAGTACGTTACAACGGCGAAGGGACCAGACGGCACTTTAACGGCGAAATGCGTACACTGCTCCAACTCCGTGACTGCTAATGCAACACGCATAGGAGAGCACATCTATGGGACGCCTTCTGACCATGATAAGAATGAGAAGCCGTGCGGCCACGAAGTCGCCATCAAACTTCTCGAGGAAGCAGCAGCAGAAACTGAGCGTTCTGGAAGCGCCACTCCATCAATCCATGGCTCCACTTCAACCCTCGACATCCAACCCGCTCGTCGCACTCGGCAGCGGGACATCCGCCACATGGTGGATGACTCTGCACGCGCTCGACTGGACTACCTATGGGCCGCTGCAGTGGTTGATAACGATTGGACGTTCCACACGTCCAAGTCGCCAGCCGTGCAGAACTTCGTGGATGCGGCTGTTGCCTACGGGAAACAATACACCCTCCCATCCCCTTTCAGGGTTTCTGGTGTGCTGCTTCAAAAACTAGTAGCGGATACCGAGGACCTTGTACGGCCCCTGAAGGAGAGTTGGAACACTAGCGGCTGCACCATCTCCGTGGACGGCTGGACCTGCATGAAGAGAAGTGGGCTCGTGTGTGTCATAGCCCACAATGACACGGCGCCTGTCATCGTGAAGACCGTGGACTCCAAGACCGCGAAGAAGACGGGGGAGTACTTGGCCGGCCTCATCCGGACTTCGATCGCCGAGGTTGGAGACAAAAAGGTGGTCCAAGTGGTCATGGACAATGCGTCCAACAACCGCAGGGCGGCCGACATCCTTCGTGACGGGTTTCCCGCCATTTTCTTCAACAACTGTGCGGCGCACGTCCTCGACTTGATGCTTCACGACATCGGCAACGTCCGTGCTGTGAAGCGGGTGCTAAACCAGGTGCACAGGGTGGATATGATGGTCAAGGGCAGCGCGTCCGCCGTCACGCTCTTCCACGATTTGTTTAGCACATTGTCCTTGGTGCGTCCCGGTGCAACACGCTTCGGCACGCAGGTTATTATGATTACCCGCTTCCTGGAAGTAAAGAGAGCGCTCAAGGAGATGGTGATAAGTGAGGAGTGGGAGGCGGTGGCGGTGGCACGGTCTGACGAGGGGCAAGCTGTCCGCAAGCTCCTCTTGGATGAGGTCTTTTGGGACTGCACGACAGCGGTCCTCCGCCTCATGACTCCCGTGTACGAAGTGCTGCGGGTGGTTGACACGCGTGCTCTAGTCATGGGCCAGATTTATGGCCTCATGCTAGATGCCACGGTGAAGACAAACGATGCGGTAGAGGCGGCAGGTAAGCTGTGAATTGCCACACGCTCTGACTATTGTATTCCCTTCCCGACCATTGTACTCACCTCGTGCTCTCCGGTTCTCCCGATGGGCAGCCAAAATGATGCTGAAACGCACAGCTCTCTTGCCGGCGAAGGACAAGCCGGCCTTTCTGAACGACATCAAGGCTATCATAGCCAGGAGGTGGAACGCCCAGCTCCACAATCCACTCCATGCTATGGGGTGGCTTCTCAACCCCCGCAATCAGTACCTAGGGGAGGTGAAGAACGATGCGGAGGTAAGGCTTGGGGCGGAAGCGGTGATCCAGGCCCGTGGGGGGGATGTCGCTCAACGCACGCTGCTGTTGGCGCAGCTGACGCAGTATCATCAGGGTAAGGGGCTGATCGGGTCCGATGACGCCCGTTGGGCAGCAACGGAGTTGGTGGCGAGTGGGCGCTTGGCGGAGGCGGAGTGGTGGCTGATGTACGGGGGGGAAGTGCAAGCGCTCATGGGGATGGCTGTGACGCTGCTGTCACAGCCACTCACGTCATCTGAGGTGGAACGCTATTGGTCCGCCATTGCACGTGTGCAGAGGCGGGACCGTAACCGCATCAGCGCCAAAAAGATGATGGACTTGACAGAGGTGGCGTTCGCCAGGAGGGCCAGGGATGCATTCGATAGGAAATCACGGGAGAGGGCGAAGCTCTATGACGATCCGGCCAACGGCACTCTCAAGCAAGGGTGTACCCTTGAACCGGCAGCAGCAGAGGAAGAGGAAGTGGGGGACGACGAGGAGGAGGGAGATGGGAATCAGCAGCTATGCACCACTGAATTCTCTAACAGAATTCCCCTGGTTTTTGGTTTTTTTGCACAACCAAATTAGTTTGCCAAACCCGAAACATGTCAAATGTGTACTGCCGCTCTAATTCTTCTTTTCTTACAGATTGACCAGGTTGGTAAGCTGTGCGATAGTCGATGGAAAGGTGCCACTGAGTCGGTTGTTGGAAAGGTCCCTACAAGATGCAGTCAAGGTTCGCATAGGGGAATTACAACAATGTCAAGGACTTGACTGGAGGAGTGTTGTACGGCCAGTCAAATGGAAGTGGTGCATACACAGAGTAGTGCTGGCAGATGGGAGATCGTAAAAAGGATGTGACAAACGATTAAACTGTATGCTAGAATAGAGATTGTATGTATGCGGGCACAGTGCATCAATTGGTGTCGGCAGGTGGAATGTGGTGCTGAGATTTGTGGCCTCACAATTCGGTCAGATGGATGAGATTCCCAAGAAGTGCTGGTATTCTTCCTGCAACTGCAGAATAATTCACTCGACTGTGCCAAACAGCGTCAGCATGGAGGGGAAAATAGGGGCATAGGAAGCAGGGACAGCACGTACGGGCAGGTTAGTGGCATGACGGGGCAGTGGCATGCCAGAATACCAAAGGATAGACATGGGCTATTGAGTGGATGGATCAATGACTCGACTTGCCACGGCTAAAAAAAAAAAAAATAGGGCCGAAGCATTGCCTGATTCAGTTTGACCCATGCTGATTTTGATAAACCTACCTTGTGTGCAGGGTTGACACGTAACTTCTCTGTTTTTTTTAGCCACAGCATACGTTCATATCTGAAAGTAACTTCACGTGTTTCGGTCTTGAGTCAGTCTGAAGCTCGGTATGTCACTACCTCGAGGTTGAGTTGACTTCATCCCGGTGTTTTCCTCCTGACTCGTGCCCAGTCTGCTTTTTGAGAATTCTAAAAAAAACAGAGTCGGCTAGTCGAGGTGCGCGAAGCTGAAGGGAAGAGCTTTGTGATCATTGTTGACTCAGTCCTGTTCTTTCTGCTGTGTGGATATTCACATGCATGACGCATGTGACGTGACCATCCAGCATTGCTTCAACCATCAGACAGCAAAAACAACAACCAGCACTGCCTTTCCGTTTAGCAATGAAGTTGCCTGCCAGCACTACCGTTTCCCTTACAGGCTGACGATGTGGTAATTTTTGTTGCAAGTGATGTTCGCCATGTCGTCACATCTTGTGTCCTGCCTCCACGTGCCATTCCCGTCATACCCTTTCCACGTATCTTTGATCGCTTGTAATGCTTTCCCTGTGTGCCAGGCAGGAGGTGAGGACAAATAAACAGACCGGTTAGTCTACTCAGCTCAATCGCTCGCTTCTAGAGCTTCTTCTGTGTGCCAGAGAAGATTGCAGGATCTAAGGGAGCAACAGGCCAGTATGACGTTTGAGTCGTAAAAAACATTGTGAGAAACAAGGTAGTATGACTTTGCATTGCACCGAGAGAGCGGCCATCCCTTGGCAGAGACTTACACTCAGAATTCAAGAGAATGCCGTCGCACGCTCTGAAATTGCCTCCTGTCTCAATGTTTCCCCCGCATGCACATGTGGCGCTGCCTGAATCCTCCCCTCCTTTCCAGAAACAGTAGCCTCGTCCAGAACAGGGCAGGATGGCAGGAGGGGAGAGGTCGCAGAAGGCTGAGCATTTGACGGAGGAGCGCTGGGTGTGGCTGAGAGCGCAGGGTAAGCGGCCAGCAGGGAAGCAATTGTCTTGCAGGGAGAGGGCGAGCGTTGAGGATAAAGTGCACATGGTGGTGGGCAGCGTGCCACTGTACAGGTAGTTGCTGCTCAGATCCCTGGCGCATGGGAGAGAGAACACACGTGGAAAAGGTAAGTTTTGAGTCAACTTAATATCAATAATTACTGTTCAGATCCCTGGCGCATGGGAGCGAGAACACACGTGGAAATTGTAACTTCTGAGTCAACTCAATATCAATAATTACTGTTCAGATCCCTGGCGCATGGGAGGGAGAACACACGTGGAAAAACACACACACAACACTCGCTCAAGTTGCGAGACATCTTGAAACATGGAGGATGCTCGGATGAGGATAGGCTGGACTATGAAAAGCCCACTTCGCCTACTGCCATGATGCAAGAAAGCGCGCCTGTCTCTGTGAGCAGCCGTTGCTCATTATTAGACACTCCTTTGGCAACCTGAACTTGTCAGAATTCAGTAGATACGTGTGTTTTAGGGAAACGAGACGAACCCCAAGGTTCAGACGTGAGGAAAAAGGACCTGGTTAGGTGGGAGCTTTAGTGATTGTTCCGTCCGCTTGAATGCAAATAAAAACAGAAACAAAGCCTGTCTGTGTGACCAGCCGTCGTCGCTCATTAGACACCATCTTACAGCTTGACAAGCTTTTGTAACTTGCTGAATCCACTTGGTATACCTCCTGAAAGCTGGTTGTGTGACATGTCCCTGTCACAGAGAAGAACCCGAGAAGGGTTAGTCATCCCAAACAAAAACATTATTCTGCACGAGCTAAAAAATCAGTTTACAATCACTAGCAACTCATTAACCATTCCACAAGCAGTTGATTGTGATTTCCCAGCCGTAGTAAATACCCACAGGAATCACATTGCCAGCAATAACCCACAAGATCTGGAGGAGTGTCAGACGGCTGAAGGAGTCAGGGATTGGCCCTGCTATGGCGTTTTTCGACAGATTGCTGCAACAATGGCGGAATACGGGCAAGAGGGTGGAGATGGTTGGAGAGAGGGGGCAGGGATGTGGCAGGGAGGAGGGCAGAGGGTGAGTGGGAAAAAAAGACGGTGGAAGGGAAAATGAGGAAAGAAACGCTGTTTATCTATTAGAAAAGAAGCTGACACACACCCCACATGTGTGCATCTACATGCATGCACGTCATACGTACCTGCAAAGCTGTAGTTTTGCACAAAGACTGTGCTTACGTAGAAACCGTGTCCTCGCGAAGCCTGTGCAGTTCCTACAGATGTTTGCTTAGGGCATAAATGATGCGACCTAGGTTGGTAAACCAAGATGCAACAGCTTACAGCAGTGCGACATGTCTATAGGTGATGTGGCATGCAATTTAACGAGACATTGCACGCATCTTAAGGTGATGTGGCATGGCTTTTCAGGTGATGTGACTTGCCTTTCAGCCTACAACAGTGATTCAACAACTCACAGAGACGTGAGGTACACCAGGTCTTGAATGGAGCTTGGAATGAACCCTACTATTCCTTGCTTAGACACATTCCTGCCCAAAAGGGGAGCGCGGATGAATGCAATGATTGACAGCTGTGAGATGCATGTACATGTGCAAGCTTGAAACAAACCATGTGTGTGGTCGACGGGGTGGAAGCAGTTGGACGATGATCATGCACCTGACCATCCACCCTGGAAACAACGACCATGAAACCTGGCAAGGCCACAATGTGAAACGCCCTCCTTGACCATGGCACGACATCAAAATGTACATGCATTGCTAGTCTGGACCACCCAAGGGGGTGTTGCTCACAGGGCCACAATGTGGTTGTTAGCGTTGCACGTAACATACTCCAGCCGCTCACACGGGGTGCTCTCATTCCACGTGCCTCCACCCTCAAAGCCAACCCAAGCCGTTTTCAGATCGTTCAGCACCAGCCCTGCGAGCACCAAGCAGCATACAAAGGCAAACCATTCAGAGATACGTGCAAACTGTATGCACCTGGTCGCACTCCCACATTCAAATCAAATGCACGTGCCAAAAAGCAAGCTATCAAGGCTTACATTCCTTTTCTGGCAATCGTGTCTTGCATGTGGTTGGATCCACCCCATTGCCATACTCCTCCCCACATGCACACATGGCTGTGCGTGTGTCTGCCTCCCCCTTCCAGAAGCAGTAACCGTGGCCAGAACAGGGTGGGGTGGTAGGGGCGGGGACTGAGAGGCCGCAGAAAGCAGAGCAATCTTTGGAGGGTCGCTGGGTGTAAGTGCGGAGGGGGCAGAGGACGGTGGTGGAGGGGAAGCAGTTGTCCTCCAGAGAGAGTTTGAGTCTGCATGTTGTCTTGAAAAGGGTTCCTGAGTAGAGGTAGTTGTTGTTCAGAGACCTGCACCTCACAAGGCAGGTGTGCCGCAAATGACGGATTCAGGGCAAAGATGTTCCAGAAAGAGGGGTTTATTATGTCGATAATATAAACCAGCCAACATATTGCTAAAAAAAAAACTATTTTCTGCAACAGAATACTGGCTCCAACCTCTTGTGCCCACCAAGAGCCCAAGTGACCTAGATGAGAAGGTGCACTCACAGAACGTCAAGGTTCCAGAGACTGCTCAGACTGACTTTTGAGACGTCTCAAAAGAGTTCCAGTGACCTAGATGAGAAGGTGCACTCACAGAACGTCAAGGTTCCAGAGACTGCTCAGACTGACTTTTGAGACGTCTCAAAAGAGTTCCAGTGACCTAGATGAGAAGGCGCACTCACAGAACGTCAAGGTTCCAGAGACTGCTCAGACTGCTCGGTAGCGAACCTGTCAAGTAGTTCCCCGACAGATCCCTGCATAAGCCAGTCATCATGAATACACACCAATTACGAGGGAATTCCAGGTTTGAACACTGCTAATGCATGTGGTGTGACTATGCCAAACATGGAGTATGCAGGTGAGGCATGCAGCAGGGGGAGGCGTGCACTTACAGCAAAGTCAAGGACGCGAGGTCACTGATGGTGTCTGGAATGGACCCCCAGATGCCCTGCCCTGACACGTTCCTGCCATGGCAGCGTGGGGAGGAGCAAGTGAGGGCAGATGAATGACGAGAGTAGATGGGTGATAAGGGCAAATGGGGGATGAGTGCAGATGTGCGAACGGGAATGCGATGGCGAAAAGGGACACGAGCATGGAAGAAAGCTGTCGCACCATTTCCATGAATAAGACACCTTGCTTCATTGGCTTCAACCAAGTTGACTCGAGGAGAAAGGAGCTGGCAGCAACAAGTGGCGCAGTGGTTCTCACAGCAGATCGATTTGGTTGGTGGAATCACATGCGATGAACTTCATGCTCTCGCACGACACGCCACTCTTCCACGTGCCGCTGCCATCAAAGCCTCCCCACGCGGCCATCAGAGGTTGCAGATTACTCCCTGCATTGCATGCACGCGTGCAAGATGTGCACAGGGCAGCTGAGATCGAGCGAGAGCAAGTTGGTTGATATGAGAAGTTGGAAAGGTAGTGCTGCCATCAAAAGGTAGTGCTGCCATCAAGAGGCAGTGCTGCCATCAAGAGGCAGTGCTGCCATCAAGAGGCAGTGCTGCCATCAAGAGGCAGTGCTGCCATCAAGAGGCAGTGCTGCCATCAAGAGGCAGTGCTGCCATCAAGAGGCAGTGCTGCCATCAAGAGGCAGTGCTGCCATCAAGAGGCAGTGCTGCCATCAAGAGGCAGTGCTGCCATCAAGAGGCAGTGCTGCCATCAAGAGGCAGTGCTGCCATCAAGAGGCAGTGCTGCCATCAAGAGGCAGTGAGTCACGGACAGGAACAGGCTACTGCTTCAGCTCAAGGGTCAGCATGTGCAATGTCTTACATTCCGTGTCTGGAAGCAGGGGCGCACACGATCCACTGACGATTCCAGTGCCAAACCCCTCATCACATGCACACGTGGCTGTTACTGGGCCCTCCCCTCCCTCCCAGAAGCAGTTGCCGTGGCCGGCACAGGGCGGGGTGGAGGGAGGGGAGAGGCCGCAGAAGGTGGAGCAATCATAGGAAGGGCGTTGGGCGTCGGTAAGGGCGCAGGGAAGGGCGTCGGAGGGAAAGCAGTTGTCGTGCAGGGAGAGAGTGAGCGGCGAGGGTGAGTTGCACATAGTGGTGGGGAGTGTGCCTTCGTACAGGTAGTTGCTGCCCAAATTCCTGTTGATGAAACAGTGACCATTGGAACACCAAGACTTGTGTGCTCTAACTCGAAGCAAGGCTGGTCTACTGGAATGCCATGGAAGAGAAGCATGTCAAAAGAGAAGAGACAAGGGATGCCATACTAAGAGCAGGGTGATGTGCAAATACCGCAGACTCAGGAGGAAAAAAAATCACACGCACATAGTTTGAGCCCAAGTTCAAACTATGACTGGTGGTGCTTAGACTGAGATGGGTACTGTCTGGGCATGGAGCCGCAAGAATGACAAAATTGTGAGATTGTTATTGCATGTCATCAACAGAGAATGTGTAATGGGCTGCTCTTCTCACAGAGTTTGAAGGCCATCCAGCTTGCTGAAGGAGGATGGAATCGATCCAGACAGATAATTATGCGACAGGTCCCTGTGAGCGGGGCGTCATGGCAAGGATAAAGAGGGGTGTGAAGGAGGATACGCAGAGGGACAGTTGGATGCAGGTACTGCACGAAGCAAGCACTCATTCAGTCAAAAGGATTCAGAGTTGTGAAACGTTTATAATGATAAAAATACATATTATGCTTACAGGAACGCTCATGTCATCACCACCAAGGGTTTTGCATGGAAGGATAGTGTGATGCAGAGGGAAGTGCAATCAAAGGATGTGGAATACAATGTTGAATAGTGCAGTGCGTTATCAGTGCAGTGAACCAGTGCTGGAGCGGAATTGTAAAACGTAAGTGATGCATCATGCAATAAACGTCATGGATCTACTCAACAAGTTTACGCACAGGTGTGTGAGGCGAGAGAGCTGTGACAGAATTGACGGGATGGTTCCAGACAAGCTCTGATTTGATAATTCACTACAGAAAGTGGGGAGGGAATGGGAGTAGGTTGAGTTTTGAGTGAGCATGAGGAAAAGATGACACCGAAAGAGGAGGAAAAGGTGAGGAGGGAAGGTACAGCAGGAGGCAATTGGGAGGGAAGAGGGAGGGTAAATGCACAAGCGCAACTTTCAGTTTCCAAGAAGGGAAACTGGGTGGACAAGGGGAATGTGGAAGGTAGAGGACAAGAAAACGGAGTGGAGGAAAGAGATTGGATGAGGGAAAATCTGGAGCAGGCATGCACGGAAAGAATGGGAGTAGGCTAGGGAAATTGTTACTAGGCAGCGTACACATCCCAACCTCCTGCACAACCTCTTCATCTGCAGAAGAGGAAATCATGTCTTCCACTCACAGGCTGACAATAAATGTGTCAGAATCGTATTTGACAAAGGGCCGCAATGACTCCAGGGTTTTATTTTTCCAGGGTCCGTCAATGATTGAGTTCCACAATGTGAGCAGGCCCTTCAACACTTCATCTGGCAACCATCACATGTGCAGCAGGGAGGAGCAATGCATTGTGAGAAGCAATGCATTGTGAGAAGCAATGCATTGTGAGCAGCAATGCATTGTGAGAAGCAATGCATTGTGAGAAGCAACGCATTGTGAGGAGCAATGCTGTGAGGGGAGCAATGCTGTGAGAGGAGGGATGCATTGAGAGGAGCAATGCTTGCTTCTGAGGAAGAGATCCTTAGTGATGGTGGGGAGAGACACATAGACCATCCATGCGAAGCTTTGTAATGGACGAGTCATGAGGCAAGAAATGCTTTGCTCGATGTCGAACAAGATCAAGCGAAGCGAATGACAAGGACGATGTTAACACGATGTCATGTGTTCCATTCCCCAATATCCCTTCACCCAACATGAGTGCCCACCCTGAGAGCTCTCCGTCACACAAGACCGTGCGGTAGGCCCAAGCACGTATTGGTCGAAGCACTCGCACGTTAAATTGCGGTCCTGCCATGTACGCCAGTCTCCGCCATAACAGTAACCATGGCCGTTACAGGGGTCAACAGAAGGGGCAATCATCCCACAGAAGTCAGCGCAGTCTGATCGCTGTTCCTGCTCCAGCTTGCAAGGCACATCATCTGCAGCAAAACAGTTCCTCCACACTTGCACCGTGGCCTTAGAACAGATCTTGCTCGTAATAGTCCCCGACGTAAAGTGGTTGCCGCTTATTAAGCTGCATGGGTGGGAAGCAAGGAAAGGTGGGGTGAGAAAGGTGGACGAACGAGGGGTGGACGAAAGTAGAATGGGTGGGTGCGTGCGCTTGCAAACAACACGTGGATGTGTGCAACAACACGTGGATGTGTGCAACAACACGTGGATGTGTGCAACAACACGTGGATGTGTGCAACAACACGTGGATGTGTGCAACAACACGTGGGCGTGTGCAACAACACGTGGGTGTGCGCAACAACACGTGGGTGTGCGCAACAACACGTGGATGTGTGCAACAACACGTGGGCGTGTGCAACAACACATGGGTGTGTGCAACAACACGTGGGCGTGTGCAACAACACATGGGTGTGTGCAACAACACGTGGGCGTGTGCAACAACACATGGGTGTGTGCAACAATACGCGGGTGTGCGCAACAACGCTTGGGTGTGTGCAACAACGCTTGGGTGTGTGCTACAATGCTTGGGTGTGTGCAACAACGCTTGGGTGTGTGCAACAACGCTTGGGTGTGTGCTACAATGCTTGGGTGTGTGCAACAACGCTTGGGTGTGTGCAACAACGCTTGGGTGTGTGCTACAATGCTTGGGTGTGTGCTACAAGGCTTGGGTGTGTGCTACAAGGCTTGGGTGTGTGCTACAAGGCTTGGGTGTGTGCTACAAGGCTTGGGTGTGTGCTACAAGGCTTGGGTGTGTGCAGGAAAAAACTGGGTCTGTCTAGTCGTACTCACAAAATATCTAAGAGGGTAGAATTAGCCAGGGTTGGAATGGATCCTGTCAAGTAGTTGTACGAGAGATCTCTGCCCAGAGAAATTCATGACAGGACATGCTAGAATACAGCAACGCTCATTTTCTAACAGCAACGTCACATGCTAACAGCAACGTCACATGCTAACAGCAAGGTGAGATGCTTAAGCTGACATGCTAACAGCAAGCTTACAGGAAATCAAGCCGATTCAGGCTTGCGACGTTGGGAAAAGGGCCGAAGAAGCGATTATAACCGAGAGTACTGTATTGGTTAAGAAACAGAGAGAATGTGGATGGATTGCGGAGATTCAGATAAGTTGGATGGGTCCAGCAGTAAACCCACACCCTATGCATGCATATTGATACTCAATCATTGGAATGCACCGAAGAAAGTATGAATGTTGACAAGCAGGCCAAATACCAAGCAACAAGCAAATGATCAGCCACCAAAGAAATGTGTTCTACCCAACCCAATCTGTTCTGTGGCTTGATTGAAGCTTGTGAGGGAGAGGCTCACATGGCCTCAAGGTCAAGAAGGAAGAGGGGCTGACAGGTGTGTTATACTGGATAATCCGGAGAAGATGTCAGGGATAGTCCCGTTAAGACTGTTGCGGCCTAAGGACCTGCGTGGCAAGAAAGGGGAGGAGAGGAGTGGGCTGTGGGGAGAGCATGCAACAAGGGGAGCGACAGAAAGGGTTTCTCCAAAAGAGGGTTCCCTGCATGGAGAGGGACAAGAGGCATGCCGTGCCGAGAGACGAAGGAAGGGGAGTGCAGGAGGGAGAGAGGGGTAAATGGTGGTACTGGAAGGTGCACTTGTATGGCTCAGCTGGTCATATCAGGCCTCTCGGGTCACTTGTGTATCTGTAATGTGCACTCTTCAATTTTCTGCTGTTCAGCGAGTTCAGTTGAGTAGTTGAACAGGAGGCAGCACATGGCACACGGCATGGGTGCACAGAGCTGATGCTGGAGCTCAGTGGTGAGTCGAAATGCGCCTGGCGGAACATGCTCGACTCACAGGGATTGAAGAACGTCCAAGTTGCCGATTGAAGCGGGTAATGAGCCTGAGAGGTCGTTGTATGCTAAATTGCTGCAAAGGTCCAGATAATTTGGATGGGAAAAGCAAGAAAAAGGCCAACCCTTTCTATGCATGTAGATGCCAGAGACTTTCTTTGAGGTGCTTCAAAGGAAGCATGAATGCCGACAGGCAAAGCAAACAGCAAGAATGTGACGAGTCGACGAGGAAATGCATTCTATTCGATCCGTGCTGTGGTCTGATTAAGCATGTGAGGCAGGGGCTCTCATGCCTCAAGCATACGAAACGAGAGAAGAGATCCTCACATGTATCTAAGGCTGGTGAGTTTGGACAAGCAGTCCGGGATGGTCCCACTAAAGCTGCTCTTATAAAAGTAGCTGCATGGCAAGGAGGGGAGGAGAGGAGCAGTGAGTGTTGAGTGCCTGGCAACGAGAACGTCCGTGGTAGGGAAACGTATGGGTGAGAGAACGAGGAGACGCGGATTGAGGGTGAAAATGCTTTCCTTGCTTTGCAAGATGACGAACGCACAAACAACCCCAAACCTAGATTGAGCGCTAATGTACAAAGTTCTTACATGTATTTGGAAGATGTCTAAGGAGCCGGCTTACAGGTACCAGAGCTTCGTCAAGCTGCCGAAGCAAGGGATGGTCCCTCTAAAATGGTTGGCCCCGAGGTCGCTGGGGCATGAGAAGGGCAGGTGGGGGTTGTGGAGTTGTGAGAGGGAAGAGGAGTCAGTTGGACGAGAGAGAGAAACGGGGACGGCATGCTCACAATGAAGACGCCCCTCTTGGTGCCCGACCTTGCCTCATCTGCGCAATGCTGCATGGGTATGCACACATGGGACCGTCATGCACACATGGGACCGTCATGGTCAAATAATCTCGCGACTGAACCCATCACACGGCACCACAGGTTCTGACTCACAGACGTTTTTGTAATTATTTCTTTGCCTTTTTCTATGCTGCTGCTCGCTGCAGGTGTCTGAAACTCTGCTGGCCCATCATATGGCAGCACAGGCTCTGACTCACAGAAACTCGAGACTGACAAGGCTGTCAAGCGATGCTGGCAACTCCCCGCTGAACTGGTTACCCTCGAGCACCCTGGCGGATCAGAGAGGCGGGTAAGGAGGGAGGCAAGGAGGGGGGCAAGGAGGGGGAGAGGCAGAAAAGCGAGGGATATTTGAAAATCAGTGTGCAGTTTTGGTGAGGTATCTACAGACTACAGGGAGGAGATGTAGCACGGACATGAGATGGTCGCTCGGGCATGAGATGGTCGCTCGGGCACAAGGGCGTTACAAGGAACTTAGGCGCGACAGGTCTCCAATGCTGGGCGGCAGTGATCCGAGCATATTTTTATTATACAGGTCTCTGGGACGACAGGGAGGGGAACAGACACCGCAGACAGGACGAAGGGAAAGAGGCAGAAAGGAAATAAGAATATTTATCAAAAGGGGACGCCTTAGTGCATGCGGATAACACACCTTGTGCATGCGGATAACACACCTTGTGCATGCGGATAACACACCTTGTGCATGCGGATAACACACCTTGTGCATGCGGATAACACACCTTGTGCATGCGGATAACACACCTTACATGCGGATAGAGTGCTCTACATGCTGTAACACGCCTTACATGCTGGTAACCATTCCCTCGGCATCACAAGTCAGCACTTGAGTTTGGTGCAGTCGTCCCTTTGGTTCCACCCTTTGAATTTAACCACCTGACCGCCCACGCTCATCGCCGCTCGCAGGTCCTGGATCGCGGGCACTGTCCATCGGCGGGCAACAGAGGTGGGGACAAAAAAGCAGGTGACAAAGGAAGTTACTAACTGAGAAGAAGAGAGGGATGCAAAGCAGACGACTCTAGGGCTAGTTGTTGAAGGATAAGGGTTTCTGAAAAGCAGTACCAATCAATAGTGCCAGAGACCAAGCCAATGATGCAAAGTTGCATTCCGGCTTCTGTACCGTGTCTGAGGGTGCAACTGCGTCAGAATTGTGTCAAAATGGTTCCCACTTATGTGAGCTTTAGTTCCCCGTTCACGTTACCTTGGGACGCACTCCAGGGAATGCCACCAGCGAAGGGCAGCAGAGGACCCAGCAACAACGCGCCGAACAAAAGCTCCCACAAAAGTAATGGTTCGAGCTGACGCCTGCTATACGAGTAACGCCTCTTCATCGTGGCTACTACAATTACTATCGGTACTACTACTATTGGTGCTACTCGGTACTAAAAACTGGGAAGGAACGGCGCTGTGCCTCTGTAACGTCCCTGTAACCGGGAGGTAGCTCAAGCAGAAATCCTACGTGTACGTCCCTCGCTCTCCTTTACCAGTCTCACTACTCAGATGTCCATGATAGCAAGGAGATTGTTGGCACCATGACCGTTGAAACAGAGAGAAGTGAAAATGAGGCCATAGGGGTCTCATAGGTGTCGCCTCCAGGTCGTTGGGGGTCTCCGTGCGCACGGCAGAGAGAGTCTGAGAAATGTCCAGAGAAAGGACGCTGCAAGAAGGAGTCAGCACCGCCATCTCATCAACCTACACAACGCTGAGTCAGCGTGTCTGGTGACCTGCCAAACGTAATTCGACTCAAAAATCACGACGACGTTGCCTGCATTGATTGTTATGACGCCCTCCACGGGCATACTCAGCGTGTCTGGTGGCCTGCCAAACGACTGACTAGTACTAGCAACAGGTTTGAACATGTTAAAGGCGGGGTGCAACTTCTTAGGAACAGTTGCAGGACAAATATGGAGTGTGCGTAACGGGACCCTTATTGGACGAAAAAAATGGAATCTCGCACAAGACAAACCTCTCGCCACTGAACTGCCTGGGACTACCAAGTTTCAAGCTATAATACCCTGAAGTTGAAGCTGATAGTTGGGCCACGGCTTTAAGCAACATCATGATGATTGCATTTGCAATGTTGAACATGCGACCAAACTTTTTCTTTAGGTCGCGGTCCAAGCCCATGCATGTCCCTGGCCCTCGGTGAATAAAAACATATGAATCTCATGCGGGAGCTCCAGATTCGTGATGGTCTGTTGCCAAATACGGAGACCCCGTGCGACTTTCGGCGAGCAGACTTCAGGACCGTGTCTTACTCGCATTACCACCACTACGTAGAGGGTTATGTGACACATTCGCCACGACTTGCTGAAAAAAAAAGGGGCACTACTACAACTACTACGAGGCTAGCTTTGTCGTTACTAATATCATGTCGTGACAGCAGCAAATGGTGGTGCGTGCGGGGTCCGGTTTTGCTCCATGATACAGCCTCGTACGGGTCGTTGTGGGTCTCTGCGAGCATGAGAAAGTCTACCTGAGAAATAAACAACACAAGCACGAACCATCTGGCTGCAAGGACGCGTGTGAGCAGGGAGGAGTCAGCACCTACTTATCAATTAGCTCCTGCTGACTGCTCTATATATCAGCCACCGATGCACACGCGGATAATGTAACACCTCGCTACCCACTGGGTTGTATTTGAGGCGCAGCAGATGCTCTCATACCCTTACGTGTAAGCCCCACAGGCGTTACAGATAATTTGTAAGGGCGTGTAAAATTGTAACGACCATAGTGAATGGTCGACCATTTGGGTGTTTCTGGGGGTAACGCGCATAGATTAGTCACCCCTACTTGACTGAATATCGATGGTACTTCTTGCTAAAGTTGCACCCACTGCCTCTTTGGGACATTACCTACCTACCTACCTACCGACCTTGTACTTGCCCCCGAACGTGCCCACCTAACCTCACTGCTTTGCTAAACACTATTTTTGTTTTCGATTCCCCGTGGATTCTACACCCCCGTTCGATTGTTTTTTATTTTTTTTTGGCAATGCAAGATCCACTATAGTAGTGCATACAAGCATTAACAATCGTAACTGTAGCTGATGGGCCTAGATAGCAACCAGCCATCATACCCATCCTGAGACTTTACGGGGGACGGAAGATCGTGCGTGGGTTAGCCTAGATGGAGGTGAAACCACTGGTCCACGCAAGCGACTTCGCCGAGCTGTCACAAACCCTGGTCAAAAGCCGAAACTCGTCCGGGCTCAGCCGTTCCAACAAAGAGCGCTGCCCCAGCCCTAACATAAAACATGCTTATTTGCTTCCTTTCTTTGCCCGAAGATAAACTCTCACATGCGTGTAGAAAGTTGCCGCAATTTTGCGTAGCACCCTCCTGGACCGGAACTGGCCCCTCTCAAACGCCGCATCACACCTTTCCACCCAGATCTTATGCAGCGCGATAGCAGTAAGCGTCGCCTCGGGGAAACACGACTCTGAGCCCTCTGCCTGGTAAAGAAGATCACCCAACGACTTGATCCTCCTGCCCGGGTTGATCATCCGGAGTGCCTTCAGCAGCCCATGAACCACCGGTTGAATACGAGGACAGCTAAACAGGCAATGCTCCGCTGTCTCTTCCGCTCCACAGTGCGGGCATGCCACCCCTTCCAGAAACTTCAGCCGCACCCCAACCTGAAGGTTGCGACAGTGCAGCCTAAGCATGACATCTCGCGCAAGGTTCGGCAACGCCACAGAGTCCCGTACCCTGATCGTCCGTACCCAATCAATGGGCTTCCCCCATTCCTCAGCCCACTTCTCCTGTTGCAGCGCCACTCCATGCTGCGCGCCAAATAACAGCCTCAACTGCCTGAAGGGAGGGATTTGGTCGCCCGCGCACAGCTCCGAACATCGCAGCCGTACTTCCGGCAAACCCCCCGCTCCCACCACTTTCCCTTCCGCAACATTAACGGTACCACTTCATCCAAGTCCAGGACCACGGGCGCCCCCGCAATCCCAACCAGCGGATCCCCAAAGCAGTCACACGCTCTGCAGGCCAAACCCTCCTGCACCACATTCTCCACTTTCCAGACACCCACCACGCCTGATTTTTTCACAAACGCCGACTCCACCAGGAGTTCCGCCCCCGTGACAGGCGTAAGCAGCTTCTGCTCCAAGGAGTCCGGCACGCTGCCGAAAATCTTAAGCGCCTTCCGCGCCTTCTTAAGCGTGCCAAGCTCCTTCTCTAGCATCTTTTCATCTTTGAAAAAGCGCACACCGTCATCTGCCAGGCTGACGAAGTCGCCAAGCTTAATCAGCTCCAAACCTTTCGTCGCCTTCTGCCGCCCCACCGGCTTCTTCCTGTTCGGCAAAATCTGCCGATTAAACAACAGTGGTTCCTGGGCAATGTCCCATCGCGATAGTGGTCCTTTCATTGCAATGCTTCACATGTCTGCTTCCACCTAACACTGCGCCCCTTCCAGGTTTTCAGAAATTCCTCATGCGCCCAGAAAGAGCGGAAACCCGCCGGGAGGTCTGCCGCTTTCATTGTCAGCCATCTGCGGACCCCCCCGCTGTTCAGTACTAGAAGGCCCACTCGCCTTGCCGCCAGCCCACTGATTTCAATGAACGGGTCACGCACACCCAGCCCGCCGTCTTTCCTCGGTCTGAAAATCAGCTCCCTGCTCCAGAGCGTAAAGTGCTGCTCCACCGACGCCCGATTACCCGAGACGAAGTTCACAATCAGCTTCATTATCCGCTTCCACACCTTCTCCGACAGGGGGTAGACTTGGCCCTGGAAGGCTAAAATTGGGCAGACGTACGCGTTAATCACTACCACCCTCGCCGTTGTGGTAAGATGCCGTGACTGCCATTTTGTAAGTTCCTCTGCTGCCCTGGCGAGCGTCTTGTCCCAGGTGACTTCCGCACTCCCCGACGGAGAGACCCAAATTCCTAGTAATCTCTCTGCGTCCTTTGGCTCGACCCACGCAAAGCCTGACTCCGCGTCTTTTTCTTTTTTCAGGTTCTTCCCCAGCGGGAGCAACGCCAATTTCTCCTTGTTGACCTACAGCCCCGAGCGAGCACCGAACTCCTCCAAGAGTCCTTGCGCACGCCCAATCTGTCGCTTCCCCTTCAGAATCAACGTCGTGTCATCTGCATATCCCAGGTAAGCAAGGCACTCCCCGTGATCATTACAGACGACTAACTTCCTGCGCTTTGCCTCCTGGCAGACGGGCTCCACTGCACACAAGAAGAGATACGGTGCCAGTGGGCACCCCTGCCGTACTCCCTTGCAGACATCAACACGATCGCCCAGCCAGCCGTTGACTAACAGCCGAGTGAAGAACCCCCCGTGCAAGCCTCTGCACCAACCAACGAATTTCTCCGGGAATCCCATCAGCATCATCGTGTCGAACAGGAAGGTACGCGACACCGAGTCAAAAGCTTTTTGAAAATCCACCATTAACAGGTACTCGTTGTCGTTATTTGCCGCTTCAATCACATCCGCTACCGTCGAGACTGCATCTGAGAGCTGCCTAGTAGGTAGGAAGCCATGTTGCTCCTCGGAAATAACCGTGCTCAAAACCTTCTTCATACGGTTTGCAAGTAACTTCGCCACCACCTTGTACGAGCTCGTCAGAAGGGTAATGGGCCTATAATTCTGTATCTGCTCCCTCGGTCCCTTCTTATGTAGCAGGATGGTTACCGCCTCCTGCACTTCCTCCGGGAGCACCCCAGACGTCTCGAACTGCTTTACAAAGCCCATGAAATCGCCCTTCAAGAGGTCCCAGTGGCGCTCAAAAAACTCCTTCGGCAGCCCATCACCGCCTGGAGACTTGTCCCCGGCCATGCCATTCAACGCTGCTTTCACCTCTTCCTCTGTCCACTCGGCTTCAAGTCCAGCCACTTCACTCTCGCCAAGCGTTTTCCGCAGGTCAGGCTTCCAGTAGGGCAGGCCTGACGGAGGAGCCTCCGTGAACAGCGACGAATAGAAACTGGAAGCAGCCTCCAGGATCCCCCTCGTCCCCCTCTGCTCCACCCCTTGGGATATTAACGCGGTAATCATCGTCCGTGTTTTCTTCGACTTCACTTTCGCCGATAAGACTTTCAACGCAATCTCCCATTTTGTTTCTTCCTTGACCCCCGCCAGGAGATGCAGCCGCTCATTTTCCCCTTTCAGGTACGCCCCCAACTGCGACTCCTTCTCAGCCAGAAGTATACGCAGGTCATCACGCTGAGGCTCCCGCATCAGCTCCTGCTGCAAGCCGGAAACCGCCAGCTCCAGGTGCCGTAACGTCGCACCACACGCTTCCGCTCCTCCGTTGCGTATCTCTTGAGTGCCGCCTTAAGTTTGATAAGCAGAGAGCCAAAATCTCCAGAGCCCTTCTCATGATGCTTCTTCGTAACCGCCTTAATCCTTTTCTCCACTCCTGGTTTCGCCGTGTCTGCAGACGGCAGCCGCCAGATACCCGGGCCCATGTGCAGCCTCAGGTTCGCTTGTAGCACCACCTTAACACCACACTTATGGTCCGAGACGCCCTTTAACGACCGAGTGTGGGAAGCATCAGCCACTGCGGGGAGCAGCTCCGCTGGCCTTCGGAATACGGTCATTCCGCGCGCTCGACTTCATCGCTCAGAAGGTGTATTCCCGAGCGCCGGCGTTCAGCGCGCGGAAAACATCAGACATGAGGAGACCTCCAAACAGCTGCACCAGCCTGTCGTTCTCCCCTGACGACCCCCCCGCCGGGGGCTTATCCAAGAGCGGATCCTCCACCACATTGAGGTCGCCCGCCAGCAGCAACCGGCTCCGTCCCGCCAGATTCGTGAGAAAAGGACCCAGTGCATCTCTGTAAAAGGTAACCCTGCTGCACGCACCTGCCGAGAGGTATGCAGCTAGAAGCGTGAAACTGTACGTGTCCCATTTAACCTCCGTAGCAATGAGCCTCCCCGAGGCGTAAGTTGTGATGTCTTCGAAGACCAGTTGTCTGTTGTTGCTTACTATCGCCACACTTCCCACTCTTTGTGTGTTAGCCACGGCGAAGCAGTGATGGAAATTAAGCCGCTTCCAACATTCATGATCAGGGGCTACTCTTGTATCTGTGAGAATGAAAATATCCGCTTCCTTCTTCGTCCATTTTTTCAAATTTCGCTGCTTCCCTCTGCTCCCGAGCCCATTAACGTTGAGCTCGCACACTGAAAGCTTGGAGGGCTTATCCATTTAACAACCGAGTGAGAGCCCCACCGCATCCACGGGCTGTAGACATGTATCTGAAACAGACAAGGTTACCACTATATCGCAGTGCATGCAACATGGTTGAAACCGATGCTAACACACATGACTCCTCCTCTCCCTTCTTTGCCATCCGACTCCCTAGATCCCATACTCCTTGCGCAGCACGCGGAGGCTCAGATTGGCTTTGAGCACACGCGTCGCCGCACCCTGCTTCACCAGAACCCCCCGGTGACGCTGGGATAACACGTGGTAAGCAGCCTGCTCGAAGGAAGCACCTTTCCTCTTCTTGCAGCACTCCAGCAGGCAGACCCACTCCTCCCGATTGCTGGCCGTTGAGACCAGCACTAGCGCAGGGTCTTTGAGGACAATCTTGGTCGTCGCCGTGGCTACAGTCGCAGTCGCTGCACGGAGGGGAGGTAAGCAGCCGCACATCAGACACCACCAGTCGAGGAAAGACATCAACAGCAGAAAGAGGTAAGCAGCAAGCACCGTCTCTACCATTAAGCTCCTGGACCCTCTCCACTGTGAGGTTCCACTTGGAGATGTTATTCTGCCGCTCCGTAACAAAGTCGTTGTGGTTATGCACCGAATGCATACCCCCGCAAAGTGAGCACTTCAGAGCCGGGTAGTGCACCATGATCTTCGAGCCAGGCGAGATCGGACTCTCGAAGAAACGCAGCCACCGAAACTTGTCATTCTCATGCGCGACGACCAGTCCCTTAACCCGATCCGTGTCCAATCCCGAGACAAGATGCACCACTCGATGGAAACAGAAGCCAGATTTGAAGGCCGGATGCTTGCAGATCTTCAGCGGGGAGACCGCGAGCGCTTCATGGAGCATCTCCGGAGATATCTCCGCAACAACCCCCAGGAAGAGAACCTCGATAACCAGCGGGTCAGTAATCTTCCTCCTGGTATAGCTCGGATCTTCCGGATACACCCAATCTAGGAAGATATACTTCCCGTCCACACACTGATGCTCAACGCGATTACTCCAGACGAAGTTAGCATCAGAAGCATTGACAAAAACAACTTGCATACGACCATAGAGCTTCTTCGCAATGTAACCTGGGTTAACATCCTGGAAGGTCGTTGTCTTAGGGCGCTTCACCTCTCAGTTCGAACAGCACGCTCGTTCGAACAGGCGAATTGTTACAGCTTTCGCCACTCTTCGTATGAGTGTTCGTGACGTCGCTAGTCGGAAATTTCGCGAATTTGAACAGAGCTGTCACATGGGGCACGAGGCTCTCCATTCCGCACGTTCGAACAGAGTTGTTCAAACAAGTTGGGATTGGTAACAAGGATTCCGCAAGGACGACTGATTTGATTGGTTAGCAGGCTTCGGGTCGCACACATATGTTTGCGACCATGGCAAATGTCGCCATGCAGACGACTAATTTATTTCTTGCGACGTTTCGCGAAGTCGTCCAACACTTGGCGACGTCGCATATTCGAACAGGCTGTCACCTCTCGTCACGAGCTGTCACATTCACCAGGGTGTTCAATTTTGTGTTCGAATCTCGTCGGAAAACTGTTCGTACAGTGAATTCGTTACGTATGTTTGGATCTGGGCCTTCCAGCCCCGAGGTGATGCGCCCTTAGCCGCACTATCCGTAAGCTCATTACAGTTCACCCATATCCCCAGCAATTCCTTAACCGTCGCCTGCGTGTGCCGAACCTCCTGCAGGTAATCGCTGGGAATCAGCAGAGTGAGCGGAAAGCGCAGCTTCGCCGCCAGCTCCTCCTTCGCTTTCTCCTCAAAACATTCCTTTGGGTCATGCGCCATGAGGCTATCATCTTCATCATCAAGGAAGCAAGTACGCCGAGCAACATCAGATGCGACACCTTCTTCCTCTTCTGCCGAGTGGTCCTCCTCTGCGTCTGACACAGCATCCTTGAAATCAGCATCCTTCCCTTTGCCATTATCTTGCTTCCCACCAGCAGCTTGCTCAATCCTGATGGCGGCCAGCTTGGCCAACAATGTCAGGGACTCCGTTTCATCTTCCGCAAAAAGCGTATGCGCCGACTTCGACGGAACAGCAGAAGCTGAGATCGGCCTTGACGAAGGACCCGCGGTTGGGGTCGCAAGCAGAACTGCAGCAGCAGCAGGGTCCATCTTAGCAGGCTTAGCAGATCTTGCCTTCGGAGGCATGGCGTGATGATGAAAGAGCCACCACAACCAGCTGAACTCTTGCGTAAATGCCTCTCTGAGCGTCTTAAAATAGCCTCCAAGGCAAGCTTGCCAGCCTTGAAGTTCGCGCCTTGGTAATGCATTTGATAGCCTTGGGAACTTGCAACGGTTGTTGAAACTTGTGACGTAACCATGATGACAGTGCACTGACTCAGCGACCATAATAGAACCTGGAAGTCTCACATTGGTGTTAGATGCTGTTACCAAACGAGTAAAAGCTTCAGGGAAACACGAAACAATGTCCTCTATATGGACACCAAAATAGTATCGCGAGAATCCTTTTATGAAGACGAAGCTCGTTAGCGGGTTAACAGTGTGATTAACACACGGGAGCACCGACATTGGTAGCTCTGAAAATCCAGTTGGCAGCCATGGTGGCCTTGGAGTCATTGTCATTGGGGCTTTGTAAAATCGCTTCGTTATACCTCCCTCTCCCCCCACCCCCGTTCGAATGCTGCAACTGGAAACAAACATTTCGCTTTCAATTATGGGGGTGGTTCTCTGTGGGTACCCCACGTGCTAAAGAAATGTGTAGCGATGTTCGCTGACACGTTACACCATTCGCAATCGCCTGAAACACCCAAATGGTAGGAAAATCGCTTTGGTCATTACAAATTTACACGCCCTAAAATGTGGAAGTTCAGCACCTTAGGGCATCTCTAGCGCGTTCGTTTTGGGAAATTTAGAGCCTTCACACGTCTCCCAGTTCAAAAAATATCAATGAACCTAGAAACGATCCCAGTGTGAATCGAGTCCAGAACGGCTGTCCTTCCAGCACGCGGACACAACCCCCGCCACGCAAATTTCTACAGTGTTCCGAATGTGTGGAAACCGAGGTAACTTGTTTTCTCGTTAATCCTCGCATGGGAATTCTCGAAAATTACTGTAGTGGCCAGGACAGAATGCTGTAGTGGCCAGAACGAAAATTTCTCGCGCGCACGCTGATTTCAGTAACATGAGTCAGACGACTCGAGGTACGTGCATTGGGCGTGCCGTCTCGTGAACGAAAGCTGATCGTGTCCAGCCTTTCTGTAAAACGCAGTATTACAACCCGAAATATGGTAACTGAGAGGGTTTATGAACGGTAAATGAACGCGCTGGACCACCTGATGCTCGCCTGTTGCGCGCACTATGCTCTACAGATGTTCTCACTTAGAGTCCGAGTGAAAACACACTCGGAGTGGCCTTTGTGGCACTACTTTGAAAACCCCGGACAAACGGGAATACAACCCAGAAATTTGAAAGAGATTGCACAAAACGTGTTTTACGTTTCTTTCTTTATTTTGTTCGTTCGCTATTTGTACATTTAGTCCGTGCTTGCTTCAACTTTGCATCGCGTGGTTCTTTTGGTTGGTCATTTCCGCGTGTCATTGTTGTTGTTGTTGTTTTTTTTTTTTTTTTTTTTTTTTTCTTGACGGTAGCAACTTTCATGAGATGACTTCGTTGAGCGCGGTGGGAACCGCGCAATGGGATGTAGAAACTAACGCAGTCAAGATAAGAAAAATAAATGTCAAAAAAATATGAATACCATGTAAAACTCCTCTTATGTAAGTAATTTCCGCGAATGTTTGGTTAGGTGAAAAGGGGATATTTGATTGGCTGAGAAACAGATTTGTTCACTCAACACCATCGTACGGCAAACTTTCCCGCCAAAATGGGGACTATATAGGAGGGGATACACCTAGGACATATAGGCAGAATCTACTCGATGAATCTATTAGCGGGGCCTCTAAGCATGAACATTTATACCATATCCATGGGTCGGCAAGGTTTGTGCCGTGGGCGGCGCAGCTTGTCTGCTTCTTGGACCATATTTGTATTTATTTTTTCAGACAGGTTGCTAGTGATGGCCCCTCTGCCGCCCGTGCTGTGATCACTAGAGTGGCAGAGGAGGAGAGCAAGAGACGGGAGAGCGTGGAGGAGGGGAGAAAAGGGGATGGTGACAGGTGAAGGGGGGGAAGGCACGAATGTCTGGGGGGATACATGGAGGAGAGAGGTGGGGGAAGAGGCAGAGAGTGGAGACGTGTCTTTTGAAACGGTGGGTGGGAAGGAATGATGAGGAGATGAGTGGAAAGAGTGATGGGAAATGATGCGATCATAAACTAGATCGTAACCAGGATCACCTCGGGAAGGTTCGCACAGGGTGCGTGGCATTGGTGGGCCCTTGATCTCAAATCAGAGTGAATGTAGAATGATTGAGATATTTAAAACATGCAAAAAACAAACGTATGAATAAGAGTACATGGGAATACGAAACGACCTAACTAGCTATATACTCTAAGAGATACATTCCCTTATTGCATCGAAATCCAATCGTGTGACTCCAGACGGTTACAAACCGTTCGGGCAGAATCCTCGCCACTACTGCTGCCTGATGCTGTCTGCCCTGACGGTCCAGATGCTCCGTAACCGTACGCGACTCTTCGTGTCATTCCGCCTTTTCGTCTTCAGCCTCGGTATTGCGCACTTCACTTGTTGCGGTTAGGAGTGCACAGTGCCTTTCTCAATTTACTATTCATAACACCCCCCGGCACTCATGGCCGTAGCTGGTCTTGACCTGCTTGACTACTCCGCTAAGTTCGGAACAGTCCTCGTATGGCTGACGTGACAGTCGCTTCGTGAGGAAGTTGGCTGTCATGTCACCCGTCGGGCAGTAGGTAAAGTCAACCTTACCTTGACGAGAAGTACCGCAACGCAATGTGTTTGGTGCGGTTGACGAACCCATGTTTGTTCGCGATCCTGGTCGCGCTCTAGTTGTCGCAGTGCAGGCGAAAGGTGGTCGAGGTTGGGATTTTTTCTTCCTGTAGGAGCTCCTGTAGGTAGAGCCCTTCGCGAGCAGCTGCTGTCGCGGCAATGAATTCAGCTTCGGTCGATGACAGGGCAACCAACTCCTGCTTCTGCGAGTTTCAGGAGATGGGACCTGTTGGCTCCAGGCGGAACAGGAACCCGGTCCTGGACCGTCGATTGTCGGGGTCAGCAGCGTGATCGGCGTCCACGTAGCCGATCAGATTAAAGGACGGGGTCGTGGCTGTGGAGTAACAGAGCTTGACATTGGGCGTGGAGATGAAAAGTTGCAGGGCGCGCTGAAGAACTAGGTGATTTTCAGCCGTTGGTTTGTGTGAGTATTGAGCTAGCTGGCTCGCGATGTACGAGAGATCAGGCCTGCAGGTGACAGAGGCAAAGAGCAGGCATCCTAGCTGGTGAAAGTAGGTCTGAAGTCCAGTGCGGGACAGGGCTTTGTTGTCAGGTTTGTGGTTCGGTCCCGGGGTGCGGTAAGGGGTGGAGAGCGGTGCATGCGCGATGTTGAAGCGTTTGCCAAGTTCTTCTGCATACTTTGCAGCTGAAAGATGAATAGCGTTTGGTGCGTAGGAGATGTTGAGGCCGAGGAACTGCTTCACGTTATGGTTGTAGGTGATATCGATGCGCCATGCTGTCAGAATGTTATAATTGTCTAGTCTGCAGTGGGGTACTCTATTGTGAGTACAACCCTGTTAGGGTTTGCTATATGTACTGCCCTGCTTACTAGTGCAACACTTTTCTTTGTCTAATTCTCTCTTGCCTAGCTAGGTAAACCCTAGCTATGGCTCCTCGTTCCAACTACTCTTGTGACATGGTATTAGAGGGCGGCATCTCTGCCGCCTTCCTGTGTATGGGCCCACCACATGCTTCCGCTGCCGTACTGTACGCCGCGCGCCCCGTGGTGCGCGGCGCCGAAATTAGGGTTTCTGCCCGCCGCGCGCTCGGGGTGCGTGGCGGTTTACCCTTCCGTGGCGCCCGTCGTGGTGCCCTTGGGGGGCATGCGCGGTCCCCTCCCGTCGCCCGTCGAGGCGCTCTCGGGGGCCCGCGCAGCCTCCCCTCCCGTCGCCCGTCGTGGCGACCACGGGGGCCCGCGCGCGGTCCCCTTCCGTCGCCCATCGAGGCGCTCTCGGGGGCCTGCGCGGCCTCCCCTCCCGTCGCCCGTCGTGGCGACCACGGGGGCCCGCGCGCGGTCCCCTCCCGTCGCCCGTCGAGGCGCTCTCGGGGGCCCGCGCGGCCTCCCCTCCCGTAGCCCGTCGCGGCGGCCCTGGGGGCCCGCGCGGCGCTCTTCTCGTCGCCCGTCGCGGCGGCCCTGGGGGGCCGCGCGGCTCCCTTTCTCGTCGCCCGTCGGGGCGCCCTGGGGGCCGCGCTCCCCCCCCCCCCCCCCTCCCTCCTACCTTTCACCTGCAGCGGCCGCCCCTGGAGCAGCCCGCACCTGCAGCGGCCGCCCCTGGAGCAGCCCGCACCTGCAGCAGCCGCCCATGGAGCAGCCCGCACCTGCAGCAGCCGCCCCTGGAGCAGCTCGCACCTGCAGCAGCCGCCCCTGGAGCAGCCCGCACCTGCAGCAGCCGCCCCTGGAGCAGCCCGCACCTGCAGCAGCCGCCCCTGGAGCAGCCCGTGCCTGCAGCAGCCGCCCCAGGATCCGCGCGAGCCGCCCCTGCAGCAGCCTGCGGCCCGTCCCTGCAGCCCGTCCCGTCCCGTCCCAGCAGCACCAGTAGTCCGGAGGCTACAATCTCCGGTAGTCGCCAGTCGCCTGTGGGTCAGTTGCTCCAGTCAGAAGGCTACAATCTCCGCGGAGCCAGTTACTCCTGTAGTCCGGGCCTTTGCTTCGGTAGCCACTGAGCCAGCAGCTCCTGTGTGTCTGCAGCTTCCGCCGTCGCCTCTCATCTCCTCTTCTCTCACAGTCCCTCCTCCTCCTCACATGCCCTCTGTGACTACCTCTAGCTTTACTTGTGCATGTGAACTATTTTATGACTGCATGCTGTACTGATTATACCCCACTTTGCCTATGGGGGTGTGTCAGAATGTTATAATTGTCTAGTCTGCAGTGGGGTACTCTATTGTGAGTACAACCCTGTTAGGGTTTGCTATATGTACTGCCCTGCTTACTAGTGCAACACTTTTCTTTGTCTAATTCTCTCTTGCCTAGCTAGGTAAACCCTAGC